AGAAATCAACTTTGACTAAATTTTGGAAGCAAATGGGAAAAATACCTCATCCTAGTAGTGCATGCCTTGCAATCCCAACTAAAAGTGTTGTTAATGAAAAGACGCTATTCAAATAAAGCAAAGGATAATTACAAAATACAAATCTGGCAAAGGATTTGTATCCAAATGTACAAAAAGCTGCTAAAATTGAATAAGAAAAAACTGATGAAACAACTTTAATGGGAAAAACAAACACACCAAAAAATGTAAATAAATACAGTATATTGCAAAAAGAGGATACAGACATAGCCAATTAGTGTAAAAAAGATTATGGGCTTCATTAGTCATTAAGAAAAAGCAAGTTAAAATCAAAGTGAGACACAAAACCCAGTACTCATGCTATTAAACAGCTAAAATTTTAAAAATTCACAATAATAAGCATTGGTACCTGGTGTTTCCATTCGTTGAAAAACAAACTGTTACATAGTCATAAAATTAAAGACTATGAAATCAATGCAGTTGAAACAAGATAATACTAACACAATAACTTGGCTAAATCTAATTTTGAGAAAAATATCCGGATAAAAATCCCCACAGTCGAGATGAGTCATTTTGTATGAAATTCAAAGATAGGCAAAAGGAGTCCATGGAGATAGAAGTTAAATTTGGGGTTGCTCGGCTCAGGAATAAGGATGGAGAGACAAAGGAACTCTGGGGCGCTGATCTTGCTCCTGCCCTTGAGGTGCATAGCGACTCCTGAGAGCACACCTGCGTGAAACTCACCAAGCGGGACACTTAGGATCTGTGTGACTTTTTTCAGTACGTAATACTCAATTCAAAAGTTTCCTTTTTAAAAAGAGCCTATCGTTTGAGACAATTATCTTAATGCAGATCAGAAGTCTTATTTTAGAATTCAAAAGCTAAATGTTGAACATCTTTCTTCCTCTTTTCATTCTGTTATAACAGCTCTATTCTTCCCCAAAGCATTAGATGCCTCTGGCTGGATAGGAGAAGAATCATGTAAAAGGAAATACAGAAAGAAAAAGAACATTAATATATTTCAAAAATACTATCCCTGTTCAACTCTTCATAAAACCCAGAATCAAAAGAACAGGAATAGATGTAAATTAAAACTGTGATATAATTCTTCAAGATAATGGCAAAAATATCTTTGAGAGGATATGATTTATGCTAATGAGGATGTTTAGAAGTAGAAACTTTATACAGCCCTGGCACATGCATTCCAGAGGAAAGCTTGAGGAGCTTAAGAAGTACTATCCAACCCACCAATGTCCTTTCCATGAATCTGATTTAAAGAAAAGAGGAGCTAGGCAGGCATCTACCTACAAAGCTTTTATTATAATATATTCATATGTTAAACTGCAGAAAAATAAATGCTGAGGAAAAGAATCTTTTGGTGTGGTACTAAGGACTAAATCTACAGAATTCACACTGAGCTACATACGCAGACCATTTTATTTTTTATTTTAAAACAGACTCTCACTAAGTTACTAAATTGCTCAGGCTGGAGTCACACCTCCCAGAGTGCTGGGATTACAGGCATGGGCCACCACCCCGGCATAATTTTTAATATGTATTGACAAATAACAACTGTACATCTGTACGTGACACCATGTAATATTTTGATGTATCAATACATGATGCGATTATATTAAGCTGATTAACATACCTTTCACAGCATATATTCATCATTTCTGTAGTAAGAACATTTCAGACTTATTTTTAAAATAATTTTAAAGTGTGCATCTATTGACTATGGTCACCTTGGGGTACAATAGGTCTTGAAGCCTATTCTTAGTGTGTTCCTGGAACTGTGTATCTTTTGGCCAATTTCTTCCATTTCTGTCCTCCCCAACCTCCTTCTCGTACTTCCTACTTCTATGAATTAAAAATGTTCAGATTCACATGTAAGTGAAAAAAATGGAATTTGTCTTCCTGTGCCTGGGTTAGTTCACCTAACATATCCCACAGCTCCTTCGTGTTATTACAGCGATAAAACTTCCTTCTTTCTTAAAGTCAAATAGTGTCCCATGGTGTGTGTGCGCACATATCACCCGTAACATTTTCCTTACCCATTCACCTGTTGAGAGACACCTAGGCTAATGCTATATGTTAGCTATTTTGCATAATGCTTCAACTTCATAAATTTCATAGGTAAGAAAAAGCAAGCCATTAAATAGAGGTAGACACAAGAGTATTTATCCTGTTAATATGCACTGGAGAAAAATCCAGAAGAACAGATTTCAAAGAATTGCCTGTGGGTGGTGGAATCAATTGTTTGTTTATTATTTCAGTTTTGGGGCCTGTGTTAGGAACAGATACACAAACATAGACATACAGTCTGCCATTATGGACAGTGAAACTTGGACGATGCAACAAAATATTACCCATCTCATTCTACTAAGAAGCCTCCTAGTCAGAGGGCTCCAAACCAGCACAAGAGTTGTGCAAAATATTCATTTATAGGCAAAAAAAGAAAAAGAAAAAAAAAGAGTTTTTAACCTGAAGTTTCCTAGCTACACTTTAAGGATATTTTCTATGGCTGTTTCCTTGGCAAAGATGAGAAAGAGTTGGACATCTCTTGTCTCCAATCCCTCCTCACTAGAAATGGAAATCAGAATTTCAAATTGTTGAATCATTTCTAAGAAACAAAAGGGTAAAGATGCCATTTTTATTTGTGTTCAGGCTTGTTTTACATGCTAAGGCCAGACTCAAAGTGTAAAAGTAGCAGGTACCTGCATAATTAAAATGAGAAATTTCAGAATGAGATTCATATTTACTCATTTTATTTATTCTTCATGTGGGCATCTGTAAAAGAATACTAACCTTTTTAACCTTTAAGCATACTAGAATTATAAACTGCGGCTGAAAGCAGAGACATTGGACACAGGCTTTCCAAATTCAAACCTTTACCTCTGCTATTTTTCAGATTGGTGACCTAGGGCAAGTTATTTAATATTTCTGAGCCTCAGTTTCTTTATCTAAAAAATAAAGGCGATAGGAGTAAAATACGCTTTTGTGAGGGTTAAATGTAAAGGAGTAAAGTTCTTGTGATAGAACCTACCTAGAGAAAAGTTTTCAAAAACTGCTTATGATTGAATTCTCAATTTAAAACAACTCTCTTCTTCAGCAGAAATAATTTCTGTCAATACTTAAGTCCCAAAAGACCCAAATTATGATTTTACGTGAAAGAAAAAAGGGCATCTCAAAGCACCATCTACCAGATAGGTCTGAAATTTCAAAACCGAGTAATTACTTAGTTGGTTAACTTGCCAATTTAGATAATCAATATGGATTATGAAATATGTTTTCTTCACAAAAAATTCCTTTTAAAATATATCCTCTTTTCTCCACTTCATTTTACCCCTAGAGTATAAAATGGGTTGATTTCTGGTACCCCATGCTACTCAGCATCCTACTAATCTCGTAGCTTCCTGGAATCTACTGATCATGATTGCAGAGAAGCAGGACAGTGCAAAGCCTGCTTGGAAATAATGTAGACACTGAAGAGGTCATGTTTGACAATTATTTTTGCCCTGCCAGTCTCTGAGCTCATGGATTATTTACACAGTACCTTACAATTGCTAGGTCAGATCATATAATTCTCTTTCCAAGTTTCATGGTAGGTTTAATAACTCTACTTATAGCTAAATGTAGCTAACTGTACCCATAATTAAATATGACCTTATAAGTCACAACAATTCCATATGAAAAAATATGGAGCAAAGTGAAGCAAGAGATTTAGGGATTGCTTTGCCTAAAATCCAAGGCCACTGCATTGGTATAATCAGGATCCTACCCTTCTTTCTTACACCATCTGATTTATTCCCTTCTTCTGAATCATACAAATTGGGACACAAACATGCAATGATATCTCCCATCTTGGGAGGAAGGAAGGAAGGAAGGAAGGGAGGGAGGAAAGGAGGGAGGGACGAAGGAAAGAAAGGAAGGAGGGAAAAGGGAACTTTGGGTACCATATCACCTCAGCTCTTCTCCTTTCCTTTTCTTTTTACAGGAACCTGAAAAACAGAAGAAACTCCTACATTTAGGTGACTCAATGGCCTTTCTCCCAATTCCTTGTTTTGTTTTGTTTTTTGTTTTATTTTATTTTTGAGACAGGGTCTTCTATGTAGTGGAGGTTGGCCTTGAACTCATGGTAATCCTCTTGTTTCAGCCTCACGAGTGCTGCTATTACAGGCGTGCACTACCACGCCCAGCCCAGTTCCCTTTTAAACTCCAGAGTTTCATTTCTCACATACTACCAAACCCTCTCCCTCCATACTGTTAAAAGCAGAGGTCAGTTGTCATCTGCTCCAGCAGCCACACTCGATACAATTGAACGCTCTATCTTCCTTGAAACGCTTTCTTTACAGACACGCACATTTTCCTGCTTTCTCTCCAACTTCGCTGCCCACTCTTCCAGCCTCCTTTTCGGTCTTCAACCCTTCTCATCAACTAGGTAATCAAAATGCCCCAAGACTTGTGCCCGGTGATATCTTCCCCGTGGCTTTACACAGCACCTATAAACTGATGATTCCCAGCTGTGTATCTCCAAGCCTGACTTCTCGCCTAAGCTGCGACTCAACATCTCCCTTGATTCCCACCACCTCTCAAACCAGTTCTTTTATCTTGCTTCTTTATTTCAGTAGGTGGTAGCTACTACATCTTAAAGCCTTGATGTTATTTTAACATCTCCCTTTCAAACCTCTTGCCCGGCTTATCATCAAACTCCTTTCCGCTTACAAAATCTATCTGACATCATCACTTCACACTCACCACCACTATTATCTTTGTTCAAATCACTATCATTTTTCCTACAAGGTATTGTTCCATTGCCTACCCAGCACCTTACCTCTACTCCACTCCCTCTTCGGTTCATTCGTTACACAGTGTGTCCTGCTAAAAATGCTGACCAAATTTTACCACTCATCTGCTTAGAAAATGCCAAAAGCTTCCAGATATATTTGGATAAACTCAGAGCTTTACCGTGGTCTATAATGCCCTACAATATTTTATGGACTTCAGCTCCTTGTGGGCCGTTCCTTTTCTTCCTAGATTGTAAAGCTCTTTTTTAGGACCTTTACTCCGCTGTTCCTTCTTCCTTGAATGCTCTTCCTGATATTAATGTAGCTGACTGCTGGACATTTAGGTCTGACATCAGATGTTGGCCTCCAGACCCCAGGAAGACCTTTCGAATCACACCCTACTTCATACCACTGTCCACTTGACTGTCTAGCACATCATCCTGTTCTGTTTTCTTCTTCTCACCACTAACTCGTTCATGTCATTTTTTACTTGTTTCTTCTTGGGCTTCCCACTACACATGAAGTTCCTATTGTTTGCTCTGCTATCCTTGAGTCTAGAGCAATGCCTGCAACATAAATTTATTCAGTGGATGCATAATAAATATTTTGTTTAATGGACCATGGAATATCCAGACTGGAATTCATTTAAGCAGTGCTTCTTTGTCCTAAGTAAAAGGTGAGCAGAGACTGGAAGATGGAAGTTGTGAAGTAGGTAGTCACTTCCTATTTCCTTGCATTGAGGCTGTCCAGAGTGAAATACCTCCTTGGAGGCGCTGCTAGGGTGTGAAAGCTTGTCTGGAGGACATGGCTGTTGGCCCATAGACCTTTGACGGCTTCAGAGGTTGCATAGTCATCCCAGACTAGTGTTCAAGGTGTTGTCTTGCAGTTTCTGCCCCAGTACGCCTTATGGCCCTTCTAATACACCATCTCTTTCTCTTGTCCTTCTTCTTGATGTCTGTCTCTCTTCCTCCTATTCTGCAGCACTAGTGCAATTTCTGCTCACAATAACAGTCAGTAACTCAATCCTCTGACTTTACTTTCTGCTCCTGAATGAAAAGAAGTCATGTGTGAGGCTGGAACCATGAGAAAAAGAACCATCTTATATACAAAGCTGTCTTTTAGTGACAAACTACACCTTGTTGATCTTTCCTCTCCCACAAACACAAAAAGCCTATTTTGAAAGCAAGCAGATTATATAAAATTCCTGGGAAACAAGTGCTGGGACAGTTCATCTTCTGTTGCTCCACCACTGACTATAGGAAACTCTGTGATAATTAGTAAATTAAAGTGAGAGTCTGTATGATTAGCAACGATTATTGAACATAGAAGCCAATTCACATAGTTCCTCTTCTTTTCATTTTCTCACTGATTGTGTGATAAATGTATCAAGAAGGAAAATGGGATGGAGAAAAGAAGGAAATTATTTATTGTAGTTCCCCTGTGTATGTTACAGCCTCTCCTTTCTCATTCTAACATGCTCAAGTAAAATTGTTATATTTCTATGTGGAAAAAAGCATATTGCATCTTATAAAATAACTTTCCCAACACACACTTCCACTTGTGATAGTGTATATTCATGATTTTATGTAAATTTTCATATATTACTTTTCACTCAATAGATGTTCAATAAAGGTACAACTGGATAGGGGAGGAGATACAGCTCAGTGGCACAAGTGCCTGCCTGGCATGCCCAAAGTCCTGAGTTAGACTCCTGGTACCAAAAAAAAAAATAGGTACAGCTGGATAAATAAAAAAATAGCCATTCATGAAACTTAGTAGAAGCTCTTTTGTGAGAATGGAATGACAAAACCATATCTTAGAAGATTACTGTTACAGGGAGATGCATTTTTAATAGACAAACTCACTGAATGAATTAAAAGTCCACACTGATGGATTAATATCTTCTTAGGATAATTAATTCACTCCAACAACATTTTATTGTCATCTACTGTTTAATAATCTAATTATTCACATGTTAAGCATTAGAACCAGATGTTTTTAAAGACAGAAAATGAGAGACAATAAAAGGCAGCCTCATGAAAGCCCAAATATTGTGAAACTGTGGGATCAGATTTAGAGCAGCCAAGTCAAGCTAAGCCTTTATGTATGAGCTTAAACTGTGAACTCAAGTTCATTACAATATTTCAACTCATCCTACTTTAAAATAGCAAAACTTACCCAAAAATCTTTCTTTTGGTGGTTACTTATTGACAGATACTTACAAATAAGTCAGAAGTTTCAGGACAAACAAAAGTTTGCTTTATACCCCTATAGAAAAACTAAAAGACCTTGCCATACAATATGAAAATACTATGTTGAGTCAGGGCTCTGTTCTTCGTAGACTGGAGGGTAAATCTCCAAACTTTTGAAGCTAATGTCATAGTGGACAATCAGTTTCATACTTTTGATCTATTAAGCTAAGTCTGGATCCAGGAAAACAAATTTTATGAGTTACATTTTATGAAAAATCACTTCATATTTAATAAGGATGAAAAACTCCTTTAATAATCTGAGTAAATTTAAAGTTGCTAAATAATATCTTCTTTTAGTCCATGAAAATTTACTGTTTGTCTTCTGGGTCATGCAGCTCACTCAACTTTGTATACGTTTATAGAGCACATAACAAATGCACCACTTCACTTGATGCTCACAGCCTTTGCTGCTACTGTTATTATTATTTCCACTTTGCAGTCAAACAAAGGCTTGGAGAATCCAAGTGCCAGTGCCTATAAATCAAAAATGCAGTTCATTCTTAACCCAGTTTCCCACGGAATTGGATCTCTTGCTTAAAACTATGTAACTATAAAGTCTCAAAATAAAATCTTCACCATATTTTAATAATAATACAGATTTTTTCCTTGTCCCTTTTCAGCCAATCAAAGCCCGGAAAATTCCATTAACAAAACCACAACCCTTCACATCATAGCTTTTGAGGTGTCCCTCTTAAGTGAGACATGTTATTCTGGGCAGTCTCATGTGATGAAAGAGATAATGGGCCTCTTTGGGCGGTAATAAAAACAAAATCCCTACTTTGACACTAAGTAAAATAAAAACTGAAACTTTAAGGTAAGAGTTTTCTGATTTCACAGATGAGTCACCAAAAAACTTTAGGTTTTGAGTCTCCATGTTACTTCCCTGTCATTTAAAGTAATAACGTGCCAATTTATAAAGTCCTTTGGGCTTATTTTAACATGTATATAAATAATCCAAATTCTATTTGAAGGCTTTGACTTTCATACATGGGATCAAAATTAGGGAAACACAGGAAGGGGCTACTGGTCTGGGTAAGTCTTTTAGCAGCAGGGAAGGGCGGCTGAAGGGAGGGCAAAGCAGTACTGGATTCAGAAGGAATTGGCTTCATAGTTACAGCTGATCAGGCCAAGCATCCCTGCAGCAGTGTTTCTCTGTTGATTTGGTTTTTATTTATTTTGGTGGTAGTGATGGTGGTGTTGGTGGTGGTGAAAATCAGGTGACATGTGACCAACCAACAGAGACTGAGAGTGAATATCTGAGGGGAAAGAGGCCGCATCCAATGGGTCAATCCCCAAAACCTATTTTGGCAGATGCTGCAAAGGCATGGAGAGTACAATTAGATGGACTGCATAGGGAAAGAACTACTGGTCATTCCTGAGCAAAAATGCATCAAGTGAAGGATCTGAGATTTTATCCGTTTTCAATGGTAAGAAGTTCGCCTGTCACTCTTTTGTAGAGGCAGGGAGAAGACACAAGACTCCTAGGCCAGAGACAAAATATTTTATACCCAGAACATAGGAAGCAGCGCGAGCTTCAGCACCTTTGTATTAATTGCCTTTTTTTATTTTAAAGAGAAAAAAATAACAAAATAGCAACAGTAAAGACAAAAAACAAAACAATACAGGATTCCAAAACAAGATGATAGGAATTAACAATGGTTGTTATATTACATATTGTTATCTTCAGCAAAGTTACTCAGATTACCAGATGTAAGAATGCAAGATTGATCAAACAATTAAAGACAATAAAAATTAATAAAAAAAAAACATTAGAAATGATACAGAGCTTCCTTAAACAAGGCGGTAGGAATTCAGCAATGGTTGTTATACTGCATAGTGTTGTCTTCAAATTAGTTGCTCCAGTTACAGATACAAGCTTGATAATTGGTCAAGAGAGAAAAAAAAGTAAGCATTAACTGTTCCTTTCAATAAACCAGCAGACATCAGCAATACACTTATCTCAGCCATCCTTATATGTATATATATTTTTTCTTTTTTTTCTTTTATTTTTTTATTTTAAAAATAAAGAACCAAAACATATTAACAAACACACAGACACAAATGAAACACCTAAAAACAATAAAAATAATACAGAATTTCAGACAAAGTGATAAGAAATTAACAATAATTGTTGTGTTACATATTGTTATCTTCAAATTGATTACTCAGATAAATAAATATAGGCATGTAAGAATGATCAAACAATTAAATATCAACTGTTCCTTTCAAGAAAGTAATAGAAATTAGTAGTGCAATTATCTTAGCTGTCTTGTGTGTGTACACATATTTTTTCCCTTCTTTCTTTTTTTCTCTTTTCCCTCATCCCAGTTGTTCTTCACAGATGACATGGGCTCTTGAATTAATACACAAATTCAGTAGTGTAGCTGGATACAAAGTCAACACTCAAAAAAATCAATAGCATTCCTATACACAAACAACAAACACATTGAGAGAGAAATTAAGGAAGCCAAACCTTTCATCATAGCATCCAAAAAATGAAATACTTTGGAATCAATCTAACAAAAGAAGTAAAAGATCTATACAGTGAAAACTACAGTACTCTTAACGCCCTCTTGCTCCGAAGTTTCCCTGGGCAGTGTGGATGGACTCCTAGAGATACCTGCACACACGGTGAGTTACACCAGGGGGAAGGAGCCCTGAGCATAAAGAACATAAATCTTTCATAATGAGTGGAAAGCATGCTGGCCTTTTGCTCTAGAAGGAGACATTAGCTGGGTCTCCAAGGCTGACCACCACGCACAGATCTTGTGAAGATAGTCTGGAACCAAGCACAATCGGCTCCACTTCCAAAATACATAGAAATGCAAGAGATGTAGAGATGCAAGAAAACAGTCTCCCAAGTAAGCCCTGCTTCATGGGTGGTTCTACTCCTGCTCCTCAGCGATGGTCACGTAAATGGAAAACTGTGATTAATCACAGTGTATTGTCTGAAAAGTTAGGTAAGGAAGAAACAATCTGTCTATGTGAAACTCTCTAAAAGCAGATTTTAAAATGAAAATTCTTGTGCGAGTGATTTTAAATATTGCAAAGGGAAATCCAGTAAAGGAATGGGAAAAGCCAAGCTAGGGTTGAATTTGAGGAAAAATTCTGTGATAGCGTCAGGCTGATCCCAAGGAAAACTCTGGGGTGGAGTCTATGCCTCAGGATTGTCCGACCTGAGGGAAGGGAGCTGGGCTGTCACATTCCCATCCCTTTCGGTTGCTGGCAAAGAGCACCACAGAGATGTGGTGAGCTCCTAGGCACTCATAACTCTGTGTGTGTCCAGAAAAGCAGCTCCGGTGCCTGTGGGCAGCCCCCTGAGGGGGAGGCATGGGTGAGGGAGACCAGGGCAGAGGAACATAGAATTGGTGAGAGAGTATATATGGCACAGGGAACGAACTACAGAATCACTTAGGTCCACTTATCTAGGTTCACTCTTTGTGCCACAGCTTCTTCAACTGACGGGTCGTCAAAATTTCTAGGGAGAGGCCGGGAGGGGTGGTGTACGTCTGTAATCCCAGCACTCGGGAGGCTGAGGCAGGAGGATCGTTGCAAGTTCGAGACCAGACTGGGCTACAAAGTGAGTTCAAGGCCAGCCTGAACTGCATAGCAAGACCCTGTCTCAAAAAGACCAAAAAATATATATATATTTCTAGGGAAAAACCTGCAAGAGCTATGTTGGTGGGAGAGCTGGGGGTTTAGCCCAGCGGCACAGCACCTGCCTGGTAAGTGCAAAGTCGTGAGTTTGATTCCCAGTATGGGAAACAGCACATCCCCCCCCCAAAAAAAGAGCT